AAGGGTCATCAGAGGCACAGATGAATATAGTTCATAGGCTGTAAAAATCCATTTCCGTAGAAAATCTTAGAGTCATTGGTCAGACTATTGTTCTATGTCTAAAATTGTGCACCACAATTCTGTATCTATAACACTTCAACCAGCGGCATTTAGCACTGAGAATTTGGGGGATTTTACGAAAGTAAATTGATGCATTTTCTGTACCTTATCTAACACCCACAGTGGAACCTGGGGAGCCCTGTAATCAAACACATTCATTCTTATGCAATAAAATACACGGGAATCCTCAAGTCGATCAGATCTGCTTTGCCACAAGCTTTTGGTTCTCAGAGACTTTTGGATATTGAAACTTGTATTAATAGGTATTGTAGACCTACAATATAAGATCCCACGGGGAAAAAAATGTCTGTCCTAAGATTTTACACTCTCACATTCTCAAAACAGATATCCCAGTTTCTTAACTTCAGTTTTTGGGAGACCCAGTCAGTAGTAGCCATGAGAGTTTGATTTCCTTTACAGATTCGTTTAGCATCGTTGGGTGCCAAGTACCATCATGCTTGTGGGGTTTTTTTGTACGGAAGGTCTTTATTGGTGGGGGCAGGGAGGCTGCAGAGCAGCACTAAGGAGGAGAGAAAAGAGAAGAGAAAAGAGGAGAGAAAAGAGGGGAGAGAGATAAGGAGAGAGTGGGGAAGACAAGAGAGTAGAAAAGAGCAAGGGGGAAGAGAAGGGAAAAGAGAGGGAGCAGAGAAGAAAGGCAGAGGCAGGAGAGAGCCATGCTTGTGTTTTTTAAACTAAAGTGGACTAGAATTAATTTTGTTTTTAGAACATTTGAATAATTTCATTAAATATTTTAAGATAATTAAAACAACTGAAATATCAAGATAAGAAATTTTGACCTTAGGAAAAAAAATGACGTTTTGCTCATTTTCACTCATAAGTTAAATGTAACTTGAGATTTCTTTTAAGTTTCTGTGTATGTACTGATTTTTAAAAATTAAAAAAAAAATTTAAAAAAACTGCTGTTACTTGAATCAAAGACATTGCATCAAAACAGGCAAAGCCTTCCATTCCCTTGTTTATTATCATCATCCAGGATTTGGTTGTCAAGGTTTATTGAACGTGTGAAAACCAAGGGGGGATTTATCACAGTATCTTGGAATGTTCTTAATGTTTGTATACTCTAGATTTTAAAAGATCACTTTTTATTTTTTTTTAATTTAAGTGATGTAAATTTAAACCACTTCCACTGCAGTTCCTCTGAGTGACTAGAGACTCTTAAAGAGTTGTTCTTTGCAGAGAGTCAGGAGGTCTCCAAATACAAGTATGACAATGAAAATAATCAGGATCGGGGAAAAGGGATGGATGACCAAAAAATTCAAGGAGTTTTCTGAATGGATAAACCAAACCAGATTGAACCTGTTCTTAGCCAGGCATGTTATTCCTTCTGAGATGCAATTTCACAAACTGGCTTTGTTGGTTTGCTTCGTTGTTTGGTGTTTCTCTTGTTCTCAAAAGTATTTGAAGCAGTGTTCATAGACATATACAAAGTAATAGGTTAAAAGGTTGTGTGTATGTGAGAGAATGGGGGCACATGGGAAGGATGCTAAGGAAGGCAGGGTGAAAGCTGGCATACTACTGTTTGTGTGTAGCCTCTGAGCTTTGCAGGTACCCAAGTGAAGACAGAGGTGGTCTCATCAAGGCTAAATAGCACATTGCATTCACACCCAGGACACAGCAGGCAAGTGATACATTGTTAAGTATTTGTTAAGTGAATCAATGTTTATAGTGTGTCTAAGATTAATAGTTATGGTAGTGCTCTGCAGAGCACATTTCCACCAATGTCCACAGTAACATCTTTAAGAATACAGCATCAAATTCTATGTGGTTTGTGAACATCTGTACAGTATATGGGTACCCTGTTGTAATCTACTTCTTCAGAGTTTAACAAAGAATAATCTGGGCCAGGTAAGTGCTGTTTCTTCTGGAGCAAAGCCAGATGAATAGCTCAAGAGGTCATGTATTTGTATGTCAGCCAAGAGTCCCAATGTTAGTTGATTTTTATTATCTTTTAGTGCCTTAGTGCCTGATGTGTGTTGACCGTTATGCTCAGCACTGAGGATAATCAAGTTAAAGGGGCTCAGCTTTTTGATATCAAAAGTATTCTATGATACTTTTCTCAAGTAGATACACATACGTGAATGTTTGGAAATAGTTAATTTGTTTACATTAGTGCTTGGTTTGATAAACCTCCCTAGTTACTGAGAGTAGTCTTTATTGCCTTGGCAACATTTTTGCAATGATGCATATACATTGTTAGATAAACCGATAATGGTTAGAAGAACGTTATTAGTTGATGAACCTATTCCAGAAAGATGATACTTTCCTGTGACAAAGACCAAACTTGAAATTAATTGTACCAACAGCAAAATCCTATACTCTGCTATAAATTAAAAAAAATTTTACTTTTACGTATGTGTATTAAAGACTTAACATTAATGCATAGAATTTTTTTTAACCATGAACCATTGAAATATAAATAAAATAAATAAAACCTTATACAACAGATTCTTTCTTCTCTCCTGACATCATGCTGTCCCCTGCACAATCACCACAGCCACAAACAACACTAATCTGGGAAGGGGGTGGATGGGGGAGCAGCAGAACGTGTCTAGAGCAACTGGAAGGTCATTATCACAACCTCTGTGTACTTTCTTCCAGTGAATCACTTTTTCTTCCCCACTAGCTCATGAACTCTTAAAGGTCAGGGCCTGTGTATCATAACCTTCATTCTGATAAAAGGTGTTCTCAACAAGCAGCTCTTGGATATGTATTCCCCTTCCCCTACACAAAACTTAATTTGATCTGATATTGCATGGATTATTATAGAATGGCATCTATATTTTCTATTGCTTTTGTAATAAATTATCACAAAATTAGTGGCTTAAAATAATGCAAATTATCTATCCTATAGCTAAGGAGAGTCAGGGAGGTCAGATCCTCCCAAGGTGTCACTGAGATCAGAACAAGGTGTTGACAGGGCTGCCTGCCTTCCTGGAGGTTCCATGGGAGAATCTGTTTTCCTTGCTCCTTCTTCTAGAGACCTGCACGTTCCTTGGCTGTGGCTCCTCTCTCAATCTTCAAACTAGCACCCCCGCCTCCCAACCCTTTTTCTGTAATCATGTGTCTTCCTCCCACTGCTCTGCTAGGAAAGAATCTGCTTTTCTTTTACAGATTCATATGAATAGATTAGACTCACTGGTATAATACAGGATATTGCCTGTACATGTAATCTTACATGTAGTGTAGTCTTACATGTACTACAATTACTACATGTAATCTTACATGTAGTGTAAGATTATATGATCATATTTTGAATTAGGGCCCAGGCATCTTTGGGAAGTCATTATTGTTCTTATCATAGTATCTACATAAGAAAGTTGGTAGCACGAGTTGTTGGACCATACCCAGGATATTTTACTCTGCCTTGCTTCAATCAGGAACTTGAAATTTGTAGGAAAGAACCAGAATAGAGAGGAGGATATTGGAGTTGTGCAAATATAAGAGATGATGAAAGAGAGAGAGTATTTAGCTTGGAACAAAAGAAGACCTGGATTTAGGGATGAGGGGTGGAGGCTGTGGTTCATGGAGGCATAAGATGCTTGGGGTCTTCAAAACATCAGAAAGTCCTATCATAGGATAGGGTTTAAACTTGTGTTGTGTAATCAGAGGACAGAATAGAATAAACATCTGGTAATTCCCAGGATGCAGCTTTTGAAAAAAAGTAAGGCAGAGTTGTGTTGCTATTACTAATGCCCTTAAATGTCTCAAGCTAGAAATGTCGTAGCTTCATGGTGTGGGGCATCTTATAAAAAATATTTGAGGCTCAGGTGAGAGCAGAGCTCAGGGAATCCTCAAGTTCAATCTCACCCTCCCAGCTAATGATTCTTCAAATTCTAATTACGGCCTTTAAATACCTCCAATTGCATATAGCTAGAGCAGATGAAGACCCTTCATTCTTACTAAGGACGTTTTTGCCTTCATGAGAGTCTGTCTAATGCCACACAAAAGAAGGGGTGAAGGAAGGTGGTGGAGTTCAGATGGGTACTTGGAAAATTAAGTGGTATGTGTTATTGCTGAGAATATAAAAATAATAAAGGGACAGTGCGAGATTTTCAATAGTGCCCAAATCCTTAGAAAAAATACTGGGGTTTTCACACATGAGAAATGAATTATAAAGAGACAAGGCTGAAAGTGTAGAGTCATTACTATTAGGGAGCCTGAATAGGTACTAAGCATGATTCATATTTTGAGGAATTTAGCTATTTGAAGGAAAGAGTAGACCAGGTTCTTTCATCTTAACTCACGACACAATATATTTTTGAGAAAACTTCCATCTGTCCGCATTTGAAATGATTATTTGGAATGATTTGTAGGAATCTCTGTGTAAAGTGCTGCATAAAACGCTTTTTAATACTTTCAAAAATTGTGTTACCATGATGTTCTTGATCTTTGATGTACATCTCTGAATGTCTAAGTGATCCTGAATTCTACTTAGTTGTGTTAGACCATTCGATGCAAAATTTATTTTCTACCACAAAAATGTCCAAAAGGAATGAAGAAGTTAATTACAACTTCAACTGTATTTACAAGACCTCTTTGTGATTCCTTATAGCTGCCATTTATATGTCTTCAAACAGAATCATAAAGGGTCTTTGGAAGTGAAATGGTCATTTTAGGCTAAGAGGAGCTTGTTCAGACACTTCAGATTTGGGGCCAATGACTTCTTAGCCTTTCCATCTTCTTGCCAAGTCTATAGATTACCCAACAGCAATAGTGATAATTTGAGCCAGTTCCTGGTACTCCCCTCTGTAGTCAGGGGAAGGTCAGCTATTTTTTGATCCCCATGGGAGAAAGACAGCGCCTCAATCACTATCTAAAAATAGCCAGCCATTCTCAGCTGCTGGGCTGGAGTCCCTCCAGGGGAGAGCAAAGGGAATACAAATCTGCCGGCAGGGTGTGTGCAGGAGGCCACCAAAGCGTGAGCTAGGGCAGCCCTTCTCAAGGGCACTGCCTGCTGCCTGCTCCAACATCTCATTCGTTTTTCTTTTTGTCATTATTGTTAAGCTAGAAATTGCAAAATCTCTTATTTTATTTGAAAGGAAAACTCAGTGAATTAAACAATGAGACTAAACATTGCTATCTTCTTTGGGGCCCTTTTTGGTGCTTTGGGGGTTCTACTGTTTTTGGTGGCTTTCGGATCAGATTACTGGCTGCTTGCGACTGAAGTGGGGAGGTGTTCAGGTGAACAGAACGTGAGTTTCTATTTCTTCATAGAAAAGATATGTAGAAAGCTACTGATCACCATTATTTGGGATGTAATAATTTTGACTGTATTTTTTTGTGTCGATGACAGATAGAGAATGTCACGTTTCACCATGAAGGATTCTTCTGGAGATGTTGGTTTAATGGGGTTGTGGAAGAGAATGACTCTAATGTTTGGAAGTTCTGGTACAGTAAGTGCCATTTAACTTTATTCTCTCTCTTTCTCTACTGTAAAAATGAACAGCTGCTTATTTAGTGGATTTCACTTGCAGAGAGTTGCATTCTTCATTGTAAAATCTAAGTAAGATGTCTTCAAAAGGTTCCTGAAAGATTACTTTTCAGTAAGTAGAAAAGACTAGAGGAATAATTATTCTATCTTCTAACATAAAAGTCTAAATATTTATGTATGGAAAACTGAATTGTCTACAGTTTCCCTGCTCGTATTTGAAATACACTAACCCTAACAAAATAGATATTACCCACAGTATTTTTTTCAAGTGTCTTTTATTGTTAAGCACTTCTTTTACTCTTAATCCTTGAAATCGCAAATGTAAAATCCAGAAATAGAGATGTATTGTTTTATATTCATAGTTTCAAAGTTCACAAAGTCTTTTTTTCATATAATGAAACTTAATTACCAGCAGAATAGATGAAAGCTTGTTTTCTTTTGGCTGTAACCAAGTTTGTAGGTAATATCAAGACATGCCTTGCTTTTGATGTTTGCCTTATCTTGTTGAAACTTCAAGGTTCTTTTTTGAAGTAGAATAACTTTTAAAAACTCTGATGCAGTCTTTCAACTATATTTCTCATATTAATGTTTGAAAATCAATTTATTGAAAATAACCATTTATTTTATTATGTTCAACATTAAAAGAACTTCATTAGCTTAAAACTTACTGAGGGTTGAAATTATTAATCTTATCAAACATCCCTGTGAAAAATCAAAGTATGGTTTTCATAAAATCGTCAAGATCATGGAATACGTAGTAAATATATGAGGTAACTGAAGACTTGAGCAACCTGATAGTAAGTTAGCTTATATAAAAGGAGCAAAGTAATGATGAACTGGCACTTTGAGACAAATAGCTGATAGACTATCTTACAGTGCATTTGGGGCAGGAGGGAAGAAGCATGAGCTTGTCAATGGAAGCGATTTAGACTTTGGTAAAGAGAAGTAAATCAGATTGTGCAAGAGGAAGATTTTGCTAAAGACTTAGAGCAAGGAAAAATATTTCAATAGTTCACTCCCCTTTAAAGTGCACATATACAATTTTAGAGTCTTCACACGATGCAAAAGTTCCTTCTTTTGATTTCTTCAAATGCTAACATTTACTTGAATTATTAACTTGTATGATTAATCATTTATATGTTTTCCCTGAAAATAAAATGGATATAGAAGAAATGTTCTAATTATTAGAATGAATCAAGGTTCAGTTTGTTGTATTTTTAAGATAATTACTTTTGAATGCATAATGCACACTATGCATTATATTAGGTATTGGGGTGTTACAGGATATGTGAAAATAAACAAAGCATGATACCTTCAATTTTAAGGTGATATTAAGGGCATTTGTGCTGACTCTATTGAACTAGGTCATACATGTAGATGTTCTGGATGAATCCAACTTTCAGGTCTGCTGTGCTTCTTATAGATTTTTATTTATTATTTATTTTTATTTTTATTTTTTGAGATAGAACCTCAAGCTGTCATTCTGGGTAGAGTGCTATGACATCATAGCTCACAGCAACCTCCAACTCCTGGGCTCAAGTGATTCTCTTGCCTCAGCCTCCCAAGTAGCTGAGACTACAGGTGCCTGCCACACTCAGCTATGTTTTGGTTGTAGTTGTCATTGTTGTTGACAGGCCTGGGCTGGATTCAAACCCACCTGCTCAGGTGTGTGTGGCTGGCTCAACTTAGCTGCTTGAGCTACAGGTGCCAAGCCTTTGATAGATTTTTAGAAGCTCTTTTTCACTCATACAATTCTCTGAATTGATTGATGGAACCAGTAGTTTTATTTTCCTTGTGTCACCCCCTGTTTCTATTCCATTAGGAGCAAGTCATAACTGAGAGTCTCAGTAACTAACCATTGCTTTGCTCTCCTTGCCAGCCAATCAGCCACCATCCAAGAACTGCACGCATGCTTACCTGTCCCCGTACCCCTTCATGAGAGGCGAGCACAATTCCACCTCCTATGACTCTGCAGTTAGTAAGTACCCTCTGTCTTCAGATTGCTTCTGAAAGTGACTTGCCTTTGTAAAGGATCCCTACTGCTAGTTTTTTGTGAGCAATTAAAAAATAATTGACCCTTGTAATTTCAACATTTTCTCTATCAATCTGTTAGATCTAAAAAAGGTGTTATTTTAACACACCATATATAATTTTAAAGAATATAACTTTGACCTTGATGTAAAGCCATTGTACTTTACTTGCTACTTACAAAAATAATTTCTAAAAAATGTGTTTCTGAAATGAAGATTGTGATGTTTAATAGAAAGAACTTCTTCTAAAGGGTTTAACTGGCCAAAAACTAGCCTTGGAACAGAAAATATTGTAATGTATATCCTACTTTTAAGACATTTCCTTGCCATTGTTACATATGAGGATATATTATGCTACTGTCTTCATATACAACGACTGAACTGTATGTGTGTGGTACCCCATAGAAAAAGTCAAATATTGAAAGTCATATTAAAAATGTGAAGTTTTTAATAACTCCGAACTAGTGGCTGATACAGACTATCAATGTCATATACAAAGCCAAAAGTGTTGTTTTTCAAAATGAATACCTAATATAGTTAATGTTCCAAATAAATTTATATTAGCCAAAGTTCTCAAAAAAAAAAAAAAGAGAGAGAACCAGTAGAATACACACACAAACACTCTCTCTCTCACATACATATGCCCACACACAGAGAAGGAAATTTTAAGGATTTGGCTCATATAATTGTGGGTGCTGGTGAGCCTTAAATGTGTAGGGCATGCTGGCTGGCTGGAGATTCAGATAAGCATTGATATTGCAATCTAATATCTGAAGTCAGGAGTCTGATTTCCTTCTTCCTCAGGAAACCTGTCTTTGCCCTTAAGGCCTTCCATTGGGTGAGGCCCACTCATATTATGGAAAGTAATCTGCTCTACTCAAAGTCAAGTGACTGTGAATGCTAATTGCATCTAAAATATACCTTCACAGTTATATCCAAACTGGTGTTTGACCTGACAACTGGGCACCATAGCATAAACAAGTTAATAGAGAACATTAACCATCACAAAACAAACAAATGAAAATTACGTTTAACTATTTTTCATCTTTCCATCAACTATGTAAATTCCCGACATTATGATTTTGTTTTAGGTTTGTCAAAGAACTTAGCATGTTTATATCATGTCATTCCGTGACACTTCATGGGGAGGGTGTGGGATCTGGATGGTGAGCTGACCTCTAGCTGACCTCTAGCTATGTTTTTTTCCACTGGGCTTCCTTGGGTCCAAGGGACTACGTTCCTTTGAGAACATGTGATGTGAATGGTCTTTCCCATGAAAAACTAAACGAGGCATCACATTCACGTTTGTCAAAATCCAGTGCCTCGTGCAGACTGTGGACTCTTACTGGTAAGAGAAGAGACAGATAGCACAGGAAGAAACGGAACAAACTATTTTGTTTTACAGAAAAGTTACAAAAAAAAAAATGCCTTTTCCCTGACCTTATTCTTGCAAGGGAACTGAGAAGTAATACAGGATTGTCTTTCCAGAACATAAGTAGTTTGCATCAATATTAGTACTGTTGCTGTTACACATATACAGAGGTCTTGTGATGGCATAGGCACGCTAGGCATGATATATTTTAAAAGGAATGTCCATGTTTGAAAAGTCTGTTCCTGGAGGAGATAGTGGAGAACTTGAAAAACAAGGTAACATAATCTATGCATGATAATTATGATGGAGATGGATAGTAAATATGTGTCAGAAAAATTATACTGCAATTACACTTAGAATTATTATGCAGCACTGCATATAATTAGTGAGTCACTTTTTGGATCTAGTGACAAACCATATGCAATTTTTTTTCTTAAATTATCAAACTCCTCTTTGGCACAAGTATTATAAGCCTTTATTCACTTTAAGAAGTTTTTATCAAACATTTTAAATAAAAAATGATTGAGATGCACAAAGATATGTTTACAATGGAAATGGGACACCCAAGTTTCACTTAGCTTTATAATATTGTACAGGGAAATTTGATGTTTATGTGATTCATGTTTCTGTTGATTTGTTTCCCATCCCCGGGAGAAACTCATAGATTTTATCAAAAATATTCTATTGACTTTTCAGTATGTGTCTTTTGATTTATAAAACTACATAAGCTTGGGCTTGCTTCAGCATCACTTATACCAAAATTGGAATGATATGGAGAAGGAGAAGATTAGCATGGCCCTGGTGCAAGGATGACATGCAAATTCATGAAGTGTTCCGTATTTTTATTGGGGTATATGTATGTCACGGAATACTATTCAACTATAAAAAAGATGGAGCCTTTGTATAGTTTGTAACAACCTGGATGGTTTTGGAGAATATTCTCCTAAGCAAAGTAGCACAAGAATGGAAAAATAAGGATCACATGTACTCAGTACCGATCTGAAATTGGATTAACAACTGCAGGCCTACATGAGGGAAAAACTAACTAAATTCAATGGGGACAAGAGGAGGAAGAGGCTGAGTAAATTCCCATCCAGTGGGTACATTGTATACATATATGGCATACTTCCTGAGTAAAGGACACAACTATAATATAGACTTTAACCTTACAAAAACAACTTAGGTAACCTAATTGTAGGTACCCACATATTAACCTGAAATTAAAAAAAAATGTGTGTGTATATAGATGCCATGAAAGCTAAAAACAAAAAAAAGCAAGCCACTATTTAGTTTCCTGTAGCTTCAAAATTACCAGGACTTAGATAATTGCCAAATTATCTTTAGTAAATAGAAAATACTGTTATATAACATCTTATATATCATGACCTGGAAAATTACTGGTAGGATGATTTTGTGTTTTCCTGAGTTTTTACAGTTATGGTTAGTTGATATTGGATTTAGTAAAAATAATATAGTGATGTATGATTTTTTTCTGGAGTGACTACTTTAGAATCATAGGACACTGCTGATGAGATTATCCTCTTTTGAGACTGGAACTCAGGGAAAGCATATGACTCTATCTTCACACAGCTGATTATTGGCAGAAGTCACACAAAGACTCAAGTCTCTGGTTTTTGTCTTATTTGTAATCATATAAACTACAATGAATAAAAAAGCTAATTGCAGTGTTTACTGCACTACACTACTTATACAATAATATAAAAGTATAAGTCTTTTATTTGTGTCTCGAAAAAAGCACAAGTAAGCTTATATTGGCTTTTTCTGCCTTTCTACCTGAAACTGACCTATGATTACAGTCAGGTCTAATTTCTCTTCATTTAAAAAAAATCCGTATTTTGAAATTCATATTTTGATACATATTTTGAAATTCAATTATTTTCAAATCTAGTGACTTGAATGATTACTCAAGTCTAGAGAGGGTGGTCTAATTTCCAGAATTGTTTTTGAGATAGGCTTGTGTACTTTGAAGTTTATTAAACAATTCCATTCCCTTTTGAGATTTGCCAGAGTTTAGATTTTCTGGTTTGTTTCATGCTTACATTCAGTTACAGCTCATTTATTTGGTATCATTTGGTAATGATGTACTGAACATAAATGAATTTTTAAGATAATTCAACCCTAAGTGAATTAATTTTTCTCTTTCTTGGTGTCTCCATAGCCTTTGACAACCCCTCTGTCAAAGTGCTCATTATAATTAACTGTAATTGTTAACCCCCATTTCTTCAGTGTTTATTTGAGCTCCCTAAAGGCAGAGAATGTAACTTATTCATATTTATATCCTAAGAACTTAGTATAGTGCCTGGTAATTAGTAGATGCTTAAAAATTTGTGTAGAATGATGTTATACAAAACTTACACTTAGTATTTTCAGTAATAAACTAGGTTTATTTTTCCTAAGTGGAAATGTTTTAAAACTAAATCATGTGCTTGATTTCTTTCTTAAGCAATATACTGGACAAAATCTCACCTTTTTGTGATGAATCCAAACAAATATGTACACATGGGGGCTGGTGGCCCTGGGCTGCTTTGAGTTCCTTGGACCTAGTACTGGTCCTCTTGCCTCCAGGGCCTTTGTAAAAACATATACCTAAACCCCTCCCACCCCACCTCCCACCCTATGCTGTTCCTTTCTTCCCATACCTTCCTCTATTTCTTTTTCTAACAAAGCAGGTTTATTCTTGTAGCTAGTTCTAACTTCGCATTCCTAAGGAAGCTTTCCTTGCTGGTCCCTTATTCCACTAATGCACTGATTGGGCCACATTCTCCTTTATAAAACTCAGATTTGGATAATTCATGGGACAGCTTTGCATTCCTGGTATATCTTGTTCATATATTTTCTTCCCAGTTCAACTCTAAGATCCCTGAGAGGGCATCTTGCTTGTTTGGCTCACTTTTGTATCAACTAGAGACCAAAAGTTAAATGAATATTTTTTGGAGGGAATATCTGTTATTACACTGTAATGTGGTATTAATACCAATACCTTAAGTAAAGACTGATGTGTATAGGATTTCTTTTAATCCTTTACTAAACAGACTTAGACTGCTCTTAAATATTTTTTGCATACTTTTAAAACAATTTTTGGTATTCTATCTTGTTTTTACTTGTCCTTTGCTTTTATTGTCAGTATTTATCTTGTCCTCTCCTGGTTTTCCCCTTATCCTCCTTCATAAAAAGTGTAAGTTGAAAAGAATGATGTGAGACTAGAATCAGGAAGATTGAAAGGCAAGATGTTAGTCAACAATGCACTAGGCTGCAAGTAACAAGAAACAAAGAGTAGCTAAATTTAAAAGCTATTTTTCTCCCGTAACAAGAAGGCCAGAAGCAGCTGCCATAATGGTGTGGTCAGAGACCCAGGCTCTGTCAAACTTTTCTCCCAGCATTCTTGGAGGTAGTCACCTTCATGTCCTTCCATACTCAGAAAAGCAGGAGTGTCTCTGTAATTTGCCAGGAGGTTTCTGCCAACGCTTTGTTCATCAGAATGGTATCACAGGAATAAAGCTGGAACATGGAGTTTTTGACTTTCTAGCAACTGCACTAGAGGAGTGAGGGCTGGTTGAATTAAATTCTTCAGGGTTAAACAAGGGTAGAATAGCACAAAATGGGAATAAAGGATATAATTGATATTTGAAAAACTAACATATAAAATTTGGTAGCTAAACAAAAGAAAGCTGAAGGAATCTAGAATGATAAAAAACTTTGCTTTTAAACTCGGTGTAGTTCTGTTTAAACAATATACAATAGGAGGTGATCCCCTTCACTTACCTCCAAACAATGATCATTATTTTAGTGTTTTTCTTTTCAGTCCTTTTGATATACATACTGCACATGGTTTTAACCATCACAAATACAAATGTCTGTTTTGCTTTTCCATTTTTTATTCACATATTTCTCCATGTTTTCCTTTAATAGTTTCTCAAATTTTTAATTGTTAGCTGGTACCTCCACATTAAAAATAATTTTAGGCATGTACCATTTTATATAATTTGTGCTAACTCCCTGGGTTATATTTCTAGAAGTGCGAGCGGTGAATCAGAAGACAGGACCAGGCTTTTCTTGTTGTTATTGTGCCATAGTACCAAATTGTTTGCAACCTGATACTGAACTATGAATGATTTTCACTTAAGGAAATTTGGTAAGGAGAATAGAAATAGAAATAGAAATCTCAAAGTTAAGAGAAAGGGGCATATTCTGAAGTGGAGGGTGGGGATTTAGTGTGGTTTAGAAATATTACATCCATGTTGGTGGTGGAATATCAGTTTGAAATAATTCAGCAGGTAGCTTGATGTGTAAAACTGATTTTCCTACAAGTCGTTAATTAGCACAGTAGACACTAATGAGAAATTACAGAGGTGATTTTTAACATCAGTTTTAATCTTTAAGAAGAAAAACCATAGTAAAAAGGATAGTGAAATATCAAGTACATGTGGGCAGGGAGAGGGAGAAAGCAAAGACAGCCCACCAGTGAGGAAGAAAAAGAGCATTGAGACAGATGTGCATGTGATGAGCAGTCTGGGGCACTGTGAAGGGTTGGGGGTGGGAGGAAAGCTTTAGGAAGGAGGTAGTGGTCCTCAGCAACAAATGCAGAATGAACACGCATGAGAAATGAACAAGAAGGAATTGGCTCTAAGGAGGATGGTGCAGAAGTTCTCCTGCTCCTAATAGCCCTCTCTGTGGCAAGGGCACAGGTAGATACAGACTCCTGTTAGAGTTGCTCTTCCCAGGCACCTACGTCTCCACTCAAAGCCATCTGAGACTCCTAGATCTGTGGTGTAGCTCATTCTGGTTCACTGTCCATTCCCTTAGATTGGACCTGGAAGCTCTGTCCTCTTTTCCTGGCAGCAAGTTCCCTTCCTCAGTGAACCACTGGGAGCCCATTCCATTTTCCTGCACATTTTGCCACTGTAGGGTTCCCCCGAGAGCCACGCCCTACCCCGTGCTTCTTTCTCTTCTTCGGAGAGGAGAGGGCAGGAAACAGTGGCCCTCCTTAAAGGGGCAGTGAAGAGCACGCTGGGAATGTGAAACCCCAGACTGGGATGTTTAGGGAGTGAGTGGTCAGAGAGGAAGTTGAGACCTTTGCCATTAGTCAACACTTGGGCTTGGAATAGCCACTGAAAGAGCACAGCATCCTTACTGAAGCAACCACAAAACACATAGGAAGCCTGCTTTACTGTACAAGGTAAAATAAAATACAAAAATGAATGCTCTTACATTTGGCAGCTTGAAACAGCACAGGAATGAATTGAAATTCGTGTCCAGAGTTAGTGTAACTGTAAATACTTAAATCAACTCGGAGGCACATCAACATGTCTTAGGTACCAAATCTCATCCAGACACCCTCCCCTGCACCCTCCAGTTTGCAGTGGATCATGCTGGTGTAGCTGGGTCTTACTTACTAATGTTTGTGTGCGTTCCTATATGGTGATTCTGGCCCTTGTCCTAAACATGTATGTGAACGAGTTTCAAATGTTTCTGCTTTGCTTTAGTTGTAGAAGAAAAACCATTTACTGTGAAATTTGATGTAAAATGCATTTATTTTTCATAACTGTCAAGTACTTAGGCATTTGGAAATGCCTTTACATTAGCAGAATTTCCTGTTATCCATTCAGACATTTGGAATCACACAGCCATGTCCTCAGACATGGCATTGTATCTGCCATCGTATCTGCCACTGAATCTCTGGGGTAGCTGCCATTCCGGACTGACAGCTGACTGTCCCTCTGGGACCCCAGCCCAGCCTCTGTGGTGTTCAAGTTTGAGCACTGCTCCCTGGGCAGCTTTCTCAGCTTTCATTCGTGTCGGCTTGGAAGTTCCAGGATGCAACCT